ATTTCATCTCACAATTTGCTATATACAACATCAGGACCATGGATTAATTGCAGAAGGCAAGGGACCTCCCTGGTGGCACAAGGGATTAAATGGCAGCATTATGAATCTGTCTATAGTCACTACAGCATGAGTTCCATCCCCGGCCCGGAGATGTGATCCACACGGCACAGCAGACCTCTCCTGACCTGCCCAGTCCTCCCCTCAGTAGTGTATTTCAGTCAATCTGCCTGTTCTGTTCCCCACCCTGGTGAATCTTCTCACTCCTCCCCCCAAAACCTCTGGCCTGTACCCCAGTTCTTGTATGCATAAATAAATAAATCTTTTGAAAGATGTGGAAGCCAAAATTGCAAATATTTGGGGAAAAAAAAAACTTCCCTATAAGGAAACTTCAGTTTTCAAACATTTCTAAATTAGAAAATAAGTCTTAAAATTAATTTTATAACCCAATTTACAAAATTAATTTAAAAACAAAAATCTGGGCCCTCCCTGGTGGCTCAGCGGGTTAAAGCACTGCATTAAGAAGCTTAAGCCACTTCCGCATGAGTTCGAGCCCTGCCTGCCTCGGAGGGGATCCACATGGCATGGCAGACCTCTCCTGACCAGCCTGCTGCTCCCCTCAGCAGTGTACTTCGTCGATCTGCCTGTTCTGCTCCCCACTCTGTCTTTGGTGAATCCTCTCACCCTCCGCATCTCTGGCCTGTGCCCCGGTTCTGTACGAATAAATAAATAAATCTTAAAAAAAAAAATTTAGTAAGGTAAAATAGGAAGCAAAAGTGTAATAGTTTCATTTTAGCCATATAAAGATCTGTGGAAATATTATTAAGAAGACATATATTAAATATATGTTTAGTAGAAAAAGAGGTGTATACAACGTAGTACATGTTTTTCAGAAAGTAGAGCTTATTAATAAATATATGCAAATAAAATTGAAAATAATCAAATTCTTAGGAAAAGGAATATAATAATCAACTGCCAACTAGAAGCTGAAAATCTCAGTAGTCTCCAAATCATTGAGGATATGAGATTATTAAATATTCCTATAAGGAAAAAAACAATCCCAGATTTTTTTTAACATTTATTTATTTGTGCATACAGAAATGGGGTGAAGGCCAGAGGTTCAGGGACAGTGAGAGCATTCACCAAAGACAAAGTGGGGAACAGAACAGGAAGACTGATAAAGTACAATGCTGAGGGAAGCAGTGGGCAAGACAGGAGAGGTGATGTGAATCACCTCCGGGGCTGAGGATCGAACTTGCACTGAAGCTGCTATGGCTAGCTTGCAGTGCTGCATCCTAACCCCTTGTGCCACCAGGGAAGGCCTGAATCCCAGAAATTTTTAACTGAGTTCTGCGAACTATTCAAAGAAGAGATAATCAAATATCACATTAACTGTCTGCACAGCATTATTTTTCAGAGAGGTAAGTGAGGAAAGTACATAATCTATATAATTTGAGACAGTTACCTTCAAGCAGGAAATCAGAGGAAATACAGAGACACTAAAGAGGATTTAAAGAGATTGGTAATGGTGTCTATCTTAGGTTGAGTGGTAGAGAGATATCTGGGTATCTCTGCCATTCTGTAAATATATACAAGAAACAATTTAACTTCTTTCAATGTCAAAATAGTGTAAGACAATTAAAATTAATTTGAATTGCTATTTTAATCAGTAATGTATTCAAAAATTTCAACAATAAAACATGTAGAAAGATAAGTGAAAAATTCTTTCCAATCCACACAATTTCCTATTCCCCCAATGAGCAACCAACATTATTAATGCTTTTATGTCATTCTTCATTCCTTAATATACAAACAGATCTTTATTTTTATGACCCTATAATCTTTTACTTATACATATCCTGTATAATATTCTGTAACTTGATACTTTTCTGACCAATTTATCTTAGAGACTTTTCTTAGTACATAGATTTTCATAGCAGAATATATCATATCTGTGAAATATCCTTTCTATGGACATATCATATATTTTTCAACATTTTTAATTTCCTTTAATTATTTGTTCTTGCAAACAATTATCCTATGGATATATTTGGAAATCTGTATCTTTGGATAATTAGATATAAAATAATTCTCATGTTATAAGATGTAGTGACTGGGTTAAAATAAACTTCCTTTTATAGTTTTGATAGCTATTACCAAATGATCATTCCTCCTAAAATTGATATATATTTATTTCTCCATAGCCTCCACTAGAGATTGTATTACCAAACTATTGCCTACTTTGAAA